GCGCACAAGCAGATCGGCTTGATGGCTTGGTGGACGTCAATGACGAAGATATGGAGAGGCTCGACAGAAAAACCTTCTGCTATAAGAGCGCTCGTCCACTCTGTCATGCCCTATTTGACCTGCACTGCATTCGATTGCCGACTCTATATTTGAAAATCGCTGACAATGATCATCGACTCTTTCCAGGCTGCGGCACTGTTGGGTGGAATGAATGGGCAATCCGACGATATAACAGATCCTTTCTCGCTTGACGTGCAGACGATTTCCAGACCTTTTTCATCGGCGATGCAAGATCAAAAATCTCAACCGGCTGCGATGTCGATCTCTTCCAACGAGTCACAACCTTCCATGTCCGCGTCATCTTCACCTGCCCCTCCAAGCCCTCCAAGCTCAGCATTGGATCCTTCTCTGTCCCCCCCTGCCGCTTTAATCCCGCTGGACTCGGCGTTAGCACAGCTTGCTCTCTTTGAATCCCTATCCTCTGGGCAATCCACTGTCCCGCCCCCTACTCCCAGATCATTTATTCCGCCGCCTCAACGCGCTCATCCACCTACACCCATTTCCACACTCATTGCCTTTCGTAGACAGATCAAGAGCGATAAAACGGCAGAAGATCTGACAGTAACAACAGATTCTCTGTCGCAATCACGGTCCGCGATTGGCTCTGAATTTCTACAGGAACGCGAGCTGGAGACGGAAAGTACTTTGGATAGCTCGAGAGGCGACTTGCCCAGCATTTTGCCAGCGTGGCAAACATCCATGGCTTGTGATGCGGTACCCCTCACCGGTCAGGGAGCAGGTATCATGCCTATCATCGCGCTTAAATCATCGACGCCACAAGCGCTCCCAGCCGCAACCATCTCTCCAGCGGCATTGCAAGCAACATCGGTCTCCATCAAAAAAGAACCCGGTGTAGCGAGTCCTGTCAATGCGCCATCGACTGGTCGCGGTTCTCGATTGGGTTTGAATACTGCACAATCCTCCTCAGGCCATCACGCTGCTCAACCAAGAAAAAAAGATTATGTTCACAAAGCCTGTGTCAACTGTAAAGTTTCACATGTCGCTTGTGATGTGAATCGCCCGTGTCAGGTAGTCATTTTCCATGCGGCGTGTTTGTTTTCATTGGGGCTGACACGTTATTTTACCCCTGTAAATAGCGTTGTATCCGGCTGGGCAAAGCTACCACCTGCATAGACGCTGAACGAAAGAAACGTGGTCGGCCAACATCCAATGCGCGTCGTAATGCCGCCAGATCTCCTGATACGTGCTCGGAGCATGACCATGAAGAGTCGTCGGCGGACGCGAGCGGATCTCCGTGTCGACCGAAAAAGCGTACGCGGCCGTCACCACCCGGAGACGACAATGCCAGTATCTCTGCCGCTTATGCGGTGATTCTTGGGCAAATGGTTGGCAACCTTGGTCCTGCAGTTAGTAAAGCGGCCGAGCCAGCTCTTCCAGGGGCCATGTTGAATGAGGATGTTATCTCAGCGATCTCAAGGTTGATGCCTCACAACAACGACTTGAACAGTGCTGTTACGATCAAGCAAGAGATCAAGCAAGAGGCAACCAGTAGTCCGATGCAGCCGTTCCTGGCTTCTAGTCCGCCACTTGTGCCGACCTTATCACCGCCACCTGCCACACCTCCGGAAGAGGTTTGTTTTGACTCATTGTCGATGCCTCTTCCGTTGGGCAACGACATGGACGCAGTAGCACTGGATGCTGTTGTTGATTTTGGAAGTTGCATGGTAGAAGGTGATGAGAGTCCTACGAGTTTCATGGATGTAGAGTTTTCGGAGGGATTGTTTGGACGAGGTGGGTTGGCTCACGCGGGATAATCCCCGGTGCCATGGCTTCAGTTCTTACTCATCTCTAACTCTTATCCTTCTTAGATGACCCCTTTATTCTTTCCGACTTTGCTCGCGATCTTTCTATCTGACTTGCTCACATCCGTACTGGTGCTATATTTTTTTCCCCCGTCATTTATTGTCCCAATACATAGAGGTCTGAACACACTATATATTGCTGGTATTGGTAGCACTTCAACCTACATATCATGGGACGTACCCTGCAGCAGCGAGTTGTGATTATCAAGTAACATTTTACTTGTTTCACTCGCAAAGGCTGATCTACGGGTGCACGTCTTGTTGTAGTTGAGACATGCACTCTCGAAACCTTTTCATTTCTTCCCGACATTTTCTCCAATCATGATGATCGATATAGCAGTTTTGCAACGCTTCATGCTGCATCTTGCATCCTGAACGGCGGATGCGGGCGTCATACGGATCTTCCTCATCATGATCAGAATGTATCGTTCCCTTTCTTGCGGAGGGGGAACGTTCATGCGGCTGATGATGCGGGACGTGGTCTGCCATCGTCGTGGTGCGGTGGTATAGTTTTGTGCTGTTTGTTTTATGAGAGTCTAATGTTGTGAATGCGGATATTGCCGCTATAAGAAAAAAGTTCAGTGAATCTTTTGTGCCTCAGCATGGCGCGTCGTGGGCTGGAGGACGCCCGCCGACAAAGGCCAAGGAACAGCCTGCCCCACCTGCGGAGAACCTACTTGTACTCAGCAGTGCTGGCAGGGGTACGGCTGTGGAAGGGTATATAAGTTTATAGGGTTTGCCTTGGGATTCAGCAGTCTTTCCAGGTCGGACAGATATATACCACTGTTCCAGAAAATGAGGAAGAAGAGCGAGTGTCTGGCTTTTTCCCTTGCAGCGTTGGGTTTGGCCGTCTGCTTGGCGCCGCCACCGCCAGTGAACGCTATAAGTCTCCCTATCCGACGAGACAACGGTCCTACCTACCCCGTTTGTAATGACAATGTGGTGTGGTGCCGGTACCTGCCATGGTGGAAGGACGATGTTCAGCCAAGTCCTGCAGTCGAACAACAACCCCCATCTGGGACAAAAGCTATCACGGCAGAAAAGAACCAGCAAGCTACGCCACAAAAACCTCGGATTGTGCCTATGGCCGATGCCTACGTTCCCGTCCGCCCATCGAGCGGGACAAACGACATCCAAGCGCTCGTTTCTGACTCGCCTCTCGACAAGAATGCGCTCGAGTCGGGTTCTGACAAGGACTATGTTCCCATGGTTGAAAAAGACAGCGCTGTGGCATTGAATAGGAGCAAGAACTCGGGTGGCCCTACTTCGATCCCCGTTGGAGACAGGGCCCCTCGCGACCTTTTACCCACCAACATCCCCTCCGGTGTTTATGCCGGCGTGCTTATTGCCCTTTCGGTGCCATTGCTGATGGGGCAAGTCTTTTTCCGACCGTTGCTGCTGGCATCCAATCTGTTGCTGGGCGGTTTCCTTGCCTTATCGTGTCTGCACTGGACGGCCAACCCGCCATCTCAGAATGCCAATTTAGGAATTGTGATCAGCGCGGCGACGGCCATGGCGACGTTGGCAGTGTGTATCTGGAGAGTGGGACTCATGGGATTGGCGTTCCTGTCGATTGTCTGCCTTAGTGCAACGTCGTACGCCTATTTGATCAACTCGTTCGTCATGCGATGCGTCATCATGGCTGTATTGGGTGCCCTTGTTGCTGGCTTGATTATTGTGCCGAAGGCTGAAAAGACTTTGACGATCGTAGTTGCCGCATGGGGAGGGGCCGTCGTTTTGGCTTTTGGCATCGACCTATTGGTGGATTCGGGATGGAACCGGATGGCGTATTACGCTTTGTGGAACGAAGATTATTCAGGCGTAATCAGTTCGTCATGGCATAGGGTTTTGACGATCGGGGTTGTATGTTTGGCGGTAGCGGTAATGTTTGTACAGGCGTATTTGGCGTACAGAAAGAAGAAGAAGGAAGATGCCGGAGCGTCAGTGGCACCAGACGTTGAGAAAGCGTCGCTTGTCAAGAAACCTGTTGCTGCAGAGAATACCCGGAACGAAGAGACGACTTTAATTGGCAATGAGAAGGACTAGCTCTCTCTGTCTATATTTGTTGAGCCCATGTATTAAATATTCTAGTTTGTGCTTTATGAATTATCCAATGCTTCTGCTTTGTCTGTGCTTTCCACTTTTCCACGCTTCTCTTCTGGCTCTGCGGCCTCTGGCGCAATATTCGCATTATATTTCGCGACAACATCCCGGCATCTTTGTTCTCGAAGCGCATCGGCTTCACGATCCAGTCCCTCCACAATCTCGACACCCCAGTTCTTCGCCACCTCCAACATGCCATCCACCACAGCTTTCCGACGAAAGACCATCCTCTTGACACCCGCATACAGAAGTGTCATGAAACAATTCTTGCACGGCGGAAAGGTTATATATGCCCATGTCCCTTCGGCGGACTGTCCTTTACGTGCTAATGCGGAAACCGCGTGTTGTTCGGCGTGGATCTCAGACAGAGATTTGATGGATGCTGTTGGAGAAGTGGGTGGGAAAACAGTGACGTTGTTCGTCATGGCCAAGAGGGGTGACGCAGTCGTAGGGAGTGCATCTACCATTTCATTAATAAGCTAACGTGTCTCGAAGTGCAACGAATTGGAAGTACCTACCACCAATGTTCCAATCTTTGATACCTTCAACAATGACACACCCCATGTGTCCCTTTGCACTTGAACTACTTCTCGCAGCCAAACAGGCCAAGTCAAGGTAGTTTTCGTCAAAGGATATGGTAGGATTGTACACCCATCCGTAGGAAGTCGGCTGGCTGGGCATGCTGGTTGGGATCTCTGGCATTTGTTGACGTTTCCTTTTGCGGACAGAAAGAGCCGGCACGAGACCCTCAGTGGCCTGAGCTTCTATAGCGCTCTCAGGCTGCGAGGGGGCAGTGTCTACAAGGCAGTCTACATCCATGTTTTTACTGATTGACTATGTGTTCGCTGTATATGTAAATTGCATTCGGGGGCCATGTTGTTGGAACAAAACAAATTCATGTCGAGTTCGCGCGCATGAACTCGCGCGCATGAACTCGCGCGCATACACCGCGAGTGTATGCGAGAAGGAGCAGCATATAAATCTTATTAAGTTCCGCCTGTTGATATCGATAAGAGCTCAGTAGTTTAGAGGTATAATGCCCGCTTCGGGTGCGGGAGGTCCCGGGTTCAATTCCCGGCTGAGCCCATCAACTTTCCAGAGATGAATTAATAAATGGGCATACTTTTGCAACTTTACAAGTCCGGATTCCGGAACCTTCACACCACACGTGACCTAAATCGCAAGATCGATTCCGGGGTCGCGCATCTCTCTTTTCGTTAACGCTTAATTCGGAACAACCTTCCGACCGACGTGGAGCGCATGTGATTGAATTTCCGCTGCAGGTTCATCCAAACTGGTGGTGAGCGTTCAGCTTGCAGATATACTCTCGACCACCAACACCAGGTAGACGACGCAGCATACGATGGTCACAAAGCAGCTGCCAGACGCAATTGCCGCTTTTGTCGACAAGGTCGCTGCGCCCGCCGCCGTGATGTCGGGGAGATCAGCAGGTTCTCGTTTTCGTAGCCTGAACACACGTCGCTCTGCATTGGCTGGCGCTTTACTAGCCGCTGCTGCCTACAACTACTACAGGTCAAAAAGAAGTGGTTCCAAAGCTCAGACGGTTCAGAAGACGACAGAGGATTCCGATGCACCAGTCAAGATTGACCGGCAGCAAGTCAAGGTTGCAGTGGACAAGAAGTTTTTGGCAAATCTCAGATACATTTGGAATATCTGTGTGCCATCATGGCGGTCCAAGACGATTGGCATTTTGGCCCTTCACACCGCGTTTCTGATTCTGAGGACCTATCTCTCCGTCGTCGTTGCGCGCCTCGACGGTCGCTTGGTCAGAGATCTAGTGGCTGCAGACGCCCGGTCATTCGGCAAGGGTCTGTTGTACTGGTTCGCTGTTGCCGTTCCTGCCACCTACACAAACAGCATGGTGAGATAGTTTATTCTTTATTGACCAAGCCAATTCACTCATTGCGTACGCTAATTGCTCTCTACGTACAGATTCGATACCTCCAATCCAAGCTCTCTATTGCGCTTCGTACTAGTCTGACAAAGCACGTACACGAGTTGTACATGGACAATAACACATACTACAAAGCCATCAATCTCGACAACCGAATTGATGGTGCTGACCAGCTCATCACCACTGATATCAATCGCTTCTGTACCGCTCTGGCTTCTTTGTACTCCAACCTCGGAAAGCCTGTTTTGGACATGATCATCTTCAACTACCAGTTGGGCCGAACCATTGGTTCGGCCGGCATGTGGGGACTTTTCGGCAATTACCTCGTTACGGCAACAATTTTGCGGGCGGCGACACCCGCTTTCGGCAAGCTTGCGGCGATCGAAGCAAAACTGGAGGGTGACTTCCGCACCGCCCACTCTCGACTTATCACGAACGCCGAAGAGATTGCTTTCTACCACGGCGCTCCCATGGAAAAGTCGATTTTGACCCGCACTTACTACCGCCTCATCAAGCACATCAACCATATCTACCGTATCCGCATTGCTTATAACATGTTCGAAGATTTCATTATCAAGTACTCGTGGTCTGCTATTGGTCTCTTGATTGCTAGCATCCCCGTCTTCTTCCCCGAACTGGCTGGCGTGAGATCTAAACGCGAAGCATTACGTCTTGCCGAATTGCAGGCACAGGGCGGCGCTGATGCTGAGGCCGCTATTGCTCAAATTAATCGCAAGACTGGGAGTCGTACTAAGGATTTCATAACCAACAAGCGTCTCATGGTGTCCCTTGCTGATGCAGGAGGTCGTATCATGTACTCGTATAAGGAACTCAACGAGCTTGCTGGTTATACCTACCGTGTTTACAACATGTTGCGAGTCTTGCAGGACTTGCATGATGACAAATTTGTCGACACTGGAAACGTCAATGCCAAAGGTCATTATTCATTGGAGAGAATAGAAGGCAAATTTGAATACGGCTTTGATGGTAAAGGAGTTGGTACTGTGTGAACCGCTTTTATTACGGTGGCTAAAGTCCGTCCTCTTCCTAGGGATCCAATTTGCTAAAGCGCCTGTTGTTACCCCGAATGGTGACACTGTCTTAGTACCTGAATTAAGCTTCGAAACCCGGCCAGGACAGCACTTGATGATCACTGGACCAAACGGTGCTGGCAAAACGTCGATCTTACGAACACTCGCCGGATTATGGCCACTTTTCCGCGGGACAATCAAACGTCCGGAATCGTCGTTGAGTGAGATCATGTATATTCCACAGAGACCTTACTTGGCCATTGGAACTCTACGCGAACAAATCATATATCCGCACAGCGTTGCTCAGATGCGTTCTGCTGGGAAAACCGATGCTGACCTGCTCGCAATTCTGGAAAAAGTGTACTTGGCGTACATCCCTTCACGTGAAGGTGGGCTTGATGCCGTAAAGGAATGGAAGGATGTGTTTTCTGGCGGTGAAAAGCAACGTGTCCAACTCGCACGTCTGTTCTACCACCACCCTCGTTTCGCTGTGCTTGATGAAGCAACATCTGCCGTTTCCAACGATGTAGAGGCTTTATTATATTCTGGCGCAAAGGATGAGGGTATCACTGTTATCACGATTTCACACCGTCCGTCCTTGTTTAAGTACCATCAGTATTTGCTGAGCGTCGGTCAGGGTGCCTCTGGTACAGAATGGACATTCGAGCGCATCGGAGAAGAAGGCGTTCGAGTGGGTGTTGAGGCGGAGATCAAGCTTTTGGAAGAGAAATTGCGGGATGTCGAGAACTTGAGGAGTCGCCTCAAGGACATCAACTCGGAATTGAATTTGCAGATTGGTACGGGGCAAAAGGGTGCTAGAAGAAATCTTGTGTAGATCTAGGCCTTGCGACTTGTGATTGGTCAGTTGGCGGGTGTGACTTTTGTGATTTCCTTGATTCAATGATTTATATGCTGTTGAAATGTCCCATGTATTCCCCGCTTGTGCCTGTGCATCCGGTTTTACGCCTCATCACGCCGTGTTGACACCGAAATGTCAGTTATCGCGTTTTATTTTCCCACTCCCTAAGATTGCTATTCGCATTGTTGCTTAAAACCTTATTGTCGTCACGCTTCGTGTTCCAATGCGCACAGAATGCACGAATGCCAAAGGTTTGGCAGACGAGATAGCAGGTAGGAACGATCCGTCGTTCACTGTCATCATTTTTTGCCACTTTGATCTCACTAGCCGGTAGATCTCGCGAATGAGCTGTGCCAACTGGATGCCACCGAAGAGGGTGTCGTCAAAGCCTCAGCCCTATCAGCGCGGGTACAGGAGTTGGCACAGCAATTAGATACCGAGAAGAAAGGCGTCAATCCCAAGTTTTTTGAGGTCGTAGATAACCTTGACGATAATGGTACTCGAGTGTTGGCAGAATTCGGTACACTCGAGGCACCTCAATTAACTACAGGACGGAAGGTGTCCAGATATGGAACGAGTCGGTGAAGAAGAGAGGCAGCGCTGCGACAGTAAATCTGACAACGTCGGCCCTAGTTGCTCATTGTAGGAATGAACGTGCATTGCCCGAGATGCTTTAACATTTGACCAGAGTCTCCTTGATAGTACGAGAATCCGCTTTTGCATTGCTATCCCTCGCGGCACCATTGGAGAACAACATGAAAGGTGGGTAAACATACGGACCTACGTTTCGTTGAGTGACACGGTCAACCCTTACCCGTTCGCACTGGATAGCTAGCTTTAAGCTGGCACGTTTGGCCCTCAAAACTGGAAAAAGCTTCCTGGGTAATGTTTGCCGCCGTGGATACAATGGTTTCGAAATTAAATGAGAACGCACAGACGCGGACAAACATGACGATGCTCGTCGCTTTTACGACCTTAGCACCAATGTACGGTCTACGCAAGACGCTTCTTCTCCCTGACTGGTATAACTTACAGCCGTACCGGTTGTAGCTGGTCCTCAAGGAGGCGGGCGTAGCAGGCGCCACCTCTCCCGAATCAAGTAAACTGTTGGCGTTGAGTCAAGCCTACAAAGCGGAACTTGTATGTGCGTGCAATTAAACAGAGGCCAACGCGCGAATCTCATCACACACTCCAGGAATTCCTCGCCAGCGAGTCGGCGGTATCCTTCATGCTACTTCGCCAAGTCATGAAGCCCGAGGTTATATCGCAAATATCACGCAAAGAAGTATGCTTTTCATTGGCAGAAGCAGCAGTGTGATTTTCCCACTGATGCTTCACTGGACTACAAGGCGCAGCAAATCGTGCACATATGTTTACAATGTGCGCACAAAGCCTCAAAACAAGAAGATGGTATTCAGTGGTGCCAAATAGGAATTGATTTGATTGATCAAGACGCCGAACATCTTTCGTTCGCGAGCAAGGTGGAGTTGAAGGTATGTTTGTGCCTATTTAAGGAACCAGAAATGAGTGCTTTCCCTCAGTGGTTTGCTCAGACAAGATTGCTGTTACTGCTGGCAAACCTATATCTAGAGTCAAAGGCGGTAGAAGCAGCTGAGCAAGCGGTTGATCTCGCCCTGCAGGTACGCTCTCTGCACTTCAGATGATGCGCCTATGGTTTTTTACTGAGCGCTTCTTAGGAGAGTCCATCCTTGTTGATTGCGTACGCGCTCAAGGCGAAATGCGTCGCGGGCAGACCCGGCTCAGCAGAGTTGCTGCAGGAAAGTAAGTTGGTCCGAGATGACAATCATGGTTGCGGCGAGGATTAACGGACGGCGCGAAGTATTCGCAGCCGCGGTAGACAATTGCACAGATGTTGATCATGCTTCGCAACTTAGTTTGTAAGAGTTTCTCTTCACGCTTTAGCATCAGAAGCACACTTTTAACCATGGCGTAGATTCTTCGGCCTGATTCATATGTTAGCAAAAGAAATCAGGTTAGGCACGAGGCAAACGGCAAACCTGACATATTGATTTGACTAATTCTGCGGTACGGAACATAGTTCGTCGGCAGCTGCTGAAGCCGCCGATTTACTGGTCCAGAAGATTGTCTCGCGGCCGCACGGAACGGAAGACACCGTGAGCATTGAAAAGCTTAAAGTCCTCAAGATGTACTTTCTGGTGTCAGACGCCGAAGCACAGAAAGACATAGCGGCCCAAGTGGAACAGATACTAGGTGAACAGCATCTGGTTACTTACTGCGAGATGTAGCAACGCTAATGTCG